GCAGAGTCAGAGTTTAATTTTTTTCTATGATACGTAAATATTTTTTGACTCATTGTTGTAACACTAGATCCCATCACAAAATAAAGCCAGTAACAGTGAAACAAGAGTGTGTCCACACAGCCCCACTGTGGGCACTGAGAGCAACAAATGTACAATAGTATCAGAAGGATTCGCTCAAGGAAAGGTGGGGAAAGGGCAACCGAGCTCTGCCAGCACAGGTGTGACCTCCGTCCCTCACTTGTTCCCAGTGGAACAGTAACAATGCCCGCGGAGCACTTACCATGTGCCAGACACGCACTGGGTGCTTTCCATGTGTTTTCTCATTTAATCATGAGAACTCATTAAAGTGGATACTATTGTTATCAATCTTTTTTGGATGATGAAACTTATGTTAGTTCTCAATTCAGAGAGTATGATTTCAGAGCCAGTTAATGACTGTATTTCTCTGCCTCTAGTGGGCCCGGGAGAATCTGCATAACGGTACAGAGGGTGCCCCCTCAGAGGTGTCCATGTGCCAGGCTTTGGTCCTGAGGGCAAACACAGCAGGAGAGGCAGAAACACACCACAGTGTGTGTGGCAACCAAATATGAGAAAGGTCCTGTTTTGTAAAAGTGTGTGCCTGTACCTTGGTACACTGCCTTTTCAAAAATCCCACTGTACCTTCTGATGGGAACCCGAGCACTGCATTTCCTCTGGGTCCTTTGAGAGTCACTGGGTTATTGATAATAGTGAGGTGCATCCGCCACAGAAATGACACATTTATATGGCATTTAAATCACAATGAAACTTTGTGTGAAAACATACAGTAGACTGTGCACTAAGGAGATACTGTAAGCAAAGGTGTGCTGGACAGTAAAGGTGATTGTAATTAGATTTTAAATCCATGAGCAGGCAACTGCAGTATCAGAGCAACAGAATGATGGAGTTTCTGTATACAAGGTCTCCCACCGAAGGCCGCAGCCCAGAGGAAAGACTCCTAAACTCAAGAGGGCACATGCTGAGGGATGCTGGGAAGACGTGTTTCTGACCAGACCACAGCTAAAAGGCACTAATCCGGTTACAATGTTCCCTGTAACTACTGAAACCCTCCGTAAAGTCCTTTCCTCAGACTGCACTGAACTCAGGTGACCAGAAACAAATACATCTGCAGGACTATAAAGAGAGGAAAAGAAGAATACTTCCAGAGAGGTAGCAAAAAATCTAAAAAGGAAGGCTAAGACTAAGACTCTTAAGGGAGAAATAAACCCCTTAGGAGCTTGAAAGGGAACACAAGTTTCACCTGAAGCAGTGGTCGGCAAACTCATTAGTCAACAGAGCCAAATATCAATAGTACAATTATTGAAATTTCTTTTGAGAGTCAAATTTTTTAAACTTAAACTTCTTCTAACACCACTTCGCCAAAATAGACTTGCCCAGGCCATGGTATTTTGTGGAAGAGCCACACTCAAGGGGCCAAAGAGCGGTATGTGGCTCCCAAGCCACAGTTTGCCAACCACTGACCTAAAGTATCAGGACAAGGCACGGACATGCTGCTGGGACAGGGTCCGATGGCGTCCTGGGGCAGTCTTCATTTCCTGGCCTGGGGAAACTGATTTACTGTATTCCATTTTAACACGAGATCTCACGAGTTCAGTCCCTGATCCAGCAGCATCGGCACCTCCTGGGGCCCTGTTCAAAAGGTAAATTCTCCGTCCAAGCCGAGACCGACTAAGTTAGGAATGCTGGGGTGGGGCAGTCTTCTGTGTTTCTAAGTGGTTCTGATGTACACTCCAGCTTAAGAACCACTGATCCAAGCAAACCCTGCCTTAAGTTCATATAAAACATGCACACAGTGAAGGTGAGAAAACTGTTTTCCTGCCTACCAATTCCAAATTCAGTGTCAAACTAAACACAAAAAGTAAAATCCAAACAATACTATTGAGCAATTTGCAGATGTGAGATGGACTGAACTCTCATTTCCTGTACAGAAACAGCATGAGGTTTATTAGGTGTAGCAAATAAATGTAAAATCCCAATAAAATCATGAAATGCAATGTAGTTTCATATTCATGGTCCACTTGAGGATCACAGTGCTCCGGGAGCACTATCTGGTCATCAGTTTTTACAACGGACTCAGGAGCTCCAAGGACACATAATTATAATGACCTTCTGAAGATATTCATATATTTAAATGAGTTGTATTTTATATGCAATAATTTCAAAAATATGTACTTTTAATGACAGTTCCTAAAGCTGGTAAGAAAGCAAAATACGTACATCGCACCCTAGGGCGAGGATGATATTGTGAATTAGTACAACTCTTATGGAAAGCAATTTGGCAATATATAAAAACATCCATAGTCTTTGACCTATTAAGGCTACTTTTTTTTCAGATTAAGAATTCCCCAAATGAAAAGTTATATGAACAAAGAGTCTACTACAGGCCCCAAATGAGGAGACAGGATGTCTAAGGATATGGAAATGGTTAAAAAAAATACCATGTGACTATTTAAAATAAAAACAGGCTATTTAACAACATTAAAACACACATATAAATGAAAAAGATACTGCAGAATTGTATCTAGACTACGATTACAACTATCTCAAAAATATGCATAAAGAAGTAAAAAGAAACATGAATTTTTCAATACAAGAGCATTTTTTTCTTGTTTATTTTCCAATTTCTTTCTATTTTGGTAGTAATATTGAATGACTAAGATGTTAATATTAACAAAGTAGACTTGTTAAAAGCTTGGAAGATTCTCAATTTTCAGTTTAAACATTTCTATGTATGTATGGTGTGCATGTGAGCACATGAATATTTATGGAGAAGAGGGACTAGAGCAACAGGAAGGAAAATATCAAATTAGTCATGGTCAAAGGACAGTAGCTGACTTCCAATGAGACATGATATACCCTTACCTTCCCCCCAAAATCAAACCACACCACAGAGCAGAAGCTGAAGCCGCAACATTTTAGGAACCAGAAAAACAATCTAAATAATGACATTAGGGGGAGATCCCAAAGCAACCAAAATATTCTCTTCTGTTCTTCATCTTTTTTCCCCCCAGAAGTAATGTTAAACATGGGACAGATCAAGCAAACCACCATTTGTTGAGCTACACTTTAAACTGATGATGTTAACTTCGCACCAAACATTAATCGCAGTTGATCTTTAAAAGCTTGTGACACGGGGACCTAGTTTGCAACGTAAGTTCTTACACAGCCCTAATCGCACATTTCTGCCGCACTAGGCTGCCAGCTCACAGGCTAGCCTGGCACCACTCCAGCACCCCTCCCCACTCCAGCACCCCTCCATGCCCCAGCACCCCTCCCCGCCCCAGCTGGACTGACCCCATCCTGGCCCTGGAATATTAGCGCTCTCTTAGTTGGGGCAAGTTCCCCATCACATGGCTTATTATGACACTAATCCTTCTCTAAAATGTCTGTTAATTAGAATTTGATTTTGAGTTCGAAGGAGCTCAAGAGGGGGAGGGTAAAGAAAGGCAATGTGCAATTTCAGACAAAGTTCAGAACATTATAAATCAGCAAAACAGTCTCTCTGTTGCAAACAATTCTCCAGGCGCTCGAATGGCACAAAATGCATGTCAGTGATCCCAAGGATTGAGAAATAATTACCAAGAAAATGTTCAAGATCCTATTTTTTTTTAAAGTACTTTAAAAGATCTGTCAGGTTACAATGCATGTATGTTTATGTTTGGTCTGAAACAATAGCTTTGATATCCTTAGAGAGTTTGTTAAAAGCAAATACTCTGCTGTTGGGGGGTGGGGGAAAGCTATCATGAAGACATGCCTATATTAATTACTGCACACTAAAACTACATTAAGTTACCCAGATCCACTTCCCTCTCAGAACCTCCCATTCTCTGGCTGTGTGTTCATGAAAATTATGATTGCCCCAAAAATCTCGATCCTTGTAAGAAAACATCATTGGAAGGTGGGATAGAGCACAGATGTTATAGACATTTCTTTCATACTTCAAAGCCAAGATTCCAAAAGGTCACAGGAGGGTGAGGTCACTTTTGGAAAGGAATATTAATGTAAATATATGGCACGGTCTTCTGTTTTTATGGAACAATTTCAGATACATCCTCCGTGAAATAAGATTTCCAGTTGTGAAAGTATTCAGGTTGTGAAGCGGTTGATTTAGTCAACATAAAGGATTCTACTATAATAACCACTTCGTGGGTAGATGGGGCATGTGCAATTTGAAAGAGTATACTTAGTGCTGTGAGAATACAATGTAGTTGAAGTTAAGTTCAACACTGTATTTGTGCTTGATCTGGATACATGAAAGACAAGAGTAAGAGTCTATTGTAGGGGACGCAGGTAAAAATGATGGACAGATGCTTCCCTAACTACCAAGGCGACACCATTTCATAAAACTTAACTTACAAGAGTACCAGCATAACCACCCCTTCGGGGCTTCCTGAAGATGAACTTCACTTATACAGCCTACTTCTTACAAAGGGGTGAATTCTGAGTGCGTCACCTGAGCCTTTTCTCAGTGATCTAAACTCAAGTAAAAATATCTAAAATAGCAGAATTCATTCACTCTTAGATTTACTTGTGCACCCTCCTCACATTAAACTTCACTTGTGAGAAGAGCAAAGAAGGGAAAGTGGAAAGAAAGGCAGAATAGAAAGAAGGAGAAAAGAAGGAAGGAAAAAAGGGAAGGAGGGAGGGAGGAAGGGAAGGAGGGAGGGAAGAAGGGAAGGAGGGAGGGAGGAAGGAAGGGAGGGAGGGAAGGAGGGAGAGAAATGTGGACCAATCAAAATAAAAAAATAAATAAAAAGGAATGACTAGTCTCTTCCAGAAAACAATGATTTCCTCTTGTGCAGTTAAAATACAATGCCATCGCGTTCCACCTACCTGTTAAATATAAATGCCAGTCGCATGACAAGGAACCATGTGGACTTAAATATCCCTTTCCCCTTTTAAGGGCAGTAGAATCAACAGGGTTTGAAAGTGGACCACATTACTTTAGATCAGATACCTACCGTTGCTCACCATCCGCCTGGCCACTTCCCACAAGACAAGTCCAAAAGCCCAAATATCGACTCTCTTGTAAGAATCAAAGCAGTCCACCTGGATGGTTTCATCCAACACTTCGGGGGCCATGTAGCGCTTGGTGCCTACGCGTGGGTTGTTCCCCACGTCCAGCTGATTGGTGCTCTGGGAATGCATGACCGCCAAACCTGAAAGGAAGAAGACAACAGTGTCCATCAGCTCACGTCCTTTCTCAGAGAGCGCTGCTGGTTAAGTTGCCACCCGTCCCAACCACCACACCTCTGTGCTACCCGGGTCCTTGCTGCATTACCCCCAGAGGACCCCCTGGGATGCTGTTGTGAGGGCTTCTATGAGAGCAGGAAAGTGACTATTGCCAGAAACACTGCGAGGCTGTTAGGTTAACATGTGTATGAAAGTCTGAGACAAACAGTTCTAGGTAACGAATACACCAAACCTACTAGAGGAGGCTGGTGTTTAAAGTCCAAAAAAAAAAACAGGTTCACATCTTACATGGGAACCTCAAAGTGGCTTGCTTCGCAAGAAGCAAAACATGCCCTCAAGCTCTGCCCCTGCTCCCACTAGTGTGCAAACACAAATGCCAAAGAGTGCGTGCGAGCCAGAGAATGTTAAGTAACTGATCACTAATATATAAAGGGCGCTCCATCCCTACAGGACTAGCTGCTCACCTGAACAATAGATAACACTGTTCAAACCCACAGGCCTTTCTCTAAAGTCATGTACACAGAGAACATTAAACTGGATCTCATTCAAGGCACAACTTTCATGATAAATGGTTTGGAAGCACTTTCCTAAAACCGGGACTCATTTCGGAATTCCTCAGTCAACTGGAGAGGCCCTGCATTCCTCACTGACCAGGGATTAGACAGATAGGTGTGTGGCTTGCTGGCAAATGGAATTCCTTTTTGATGCATATGCAGACCAACTGGAAAGGATTCTTGAACACTACAAGCAGCCCCTGTAGACCCTTGCAACCCAATAATCCTTTGGGGACCCCTTAAGCCATCTATGGGGAATGAGGCTCTTCCCACTCCATGGCTCTGGGTGTATGGGATCATGATGCTGTATAATGCCAGGGAGATAGCACAGATGTTATCTCAGCCTTAATAATCAGCAAAGATACCGACAACTGCGTTTGGCTACATCAGACCAGTTCCCTTTCCCCCTTGTTTTTATCCTCAACACCGAGAGTCTATGTCCACTGTGGACATTTCCCAAATGGTGCCCCTCCACCACTTCCAGTACCAAAAAAATCAAAATAACAGCATATCTTAAAGGTGCAGTTTCAATAGAAGAGGGAGATCCTTGCTGTGGTGATGTAAAAACAAGGCCACAAGTTTTCTGAAACTTCCCCCTTCAAGAGCTGAAACTCAATTCCCCATGCCTTGGGCTAGACTACCGAGCAGAAGATGGCAGAAATCAGTGTATGGCTTCATAATTAGGACATAAAAAGCACTATGGCTTCCCGTTTGCAGCCCTGTGGAGAGATCCACGGGGTGAGGAACTGAGATCCTGATACCGCCACGAGTGAGCCATCTGGAAGTTCCTCCAGCCCCGATCAAGCCTTCAGGTGCCTGCAGCCCTGATGGGCAGCTTGACTATTACTCCCATGAGCCCTGGAGCCAGAACCAGAGAACTGAGCTGTTCCACCTCCTCCACCAAAGGACTGGGGGAGAAACTACATTGGTGTTATTTTAAGCTGCTAAGTTTTAGAAGTCATTTGTTTCTTAGAAGTAGATAATTATTAAACGAAGTAATACAAACCAATAAAATGCAATGTATGAACCTTGGCCGCATTCTTGTGTGTGGGGAAAAAAAATTGAAAATGAATATATTTTGTAGTATTTTTAGGGGGTGCATTCTGAATTATTTGGGAATAATGTTATGATGTTATTTTTAAATGAATTAGCAAATATATATGTACAGCCACATATAAACAAAATATGGCAAAATTTTAATAGTTGTTCAATCTAGGTGTTGCCGATATGAATGATCATTATACTTTTCTTTAATATTTCTGTGGATTTGAATTTTTTATAATAAAAAGTTAGAAAAATAAATAGAATACTAGTATTTTTTGCTAGAATACAGATATTTTTGCATGAACCCATGTATCCTAAAGAAATGAAGCTGAAGAGTTAATTAAACTTACTGCAAAACTCCCTCCACGGCCTCCCTACCAAGTCCCATAAACCAAAGCCAATTTGTCCATTTTCCCTAGACCCATGAACTATATATAAAAGCAGCTACCAATTAAATGCTTATTATTTCCCAAATCTTTATAATTAATTTCTGAATCTACTAAGAATCCTGTGAGGAAGACATCATTGATTTAGTAACATGAACAATATTACTAGGCACATTACTAGGCAAGTTTCAAATAATTCAGAAGTCCACCTAGAAATGGGCTCACGTCTTACTGGGGTCCCCTTGCTAAGACTCCCACCTTTGCATGAGGTGTAAAGGGGCCAGCTCTTAGAGCACAGAAACAGGTAGTAGATGAAACGATCTGCACAGAAATACCAGCTGAATAACTAGGAAACCCAATCGTCTCAGCTCAAAAAACCACGGCTCTGCCATAAACGTCTTTAAAACCACAGCTAACACTGCCCATAGGAACCACTGGGCCACGCCCTTTAACGCTGTCACTAATACATTTCTTCTCATACTTGGAAAACATTGTAAAATTACTTCTCAACATGAAAGACTTTAAAGGGATTCAAAACAAATTTCCCTGAAATGTCAAATCCTTTGTGTTTAAAAAAGCAAACAAAATTAATTTTATCATTTATATAAAATTGTCTACACCTCTGTCAGTCTAATGATAACTACTATGATATGAATATAAACCATTTTTTAATCCAGTTGAATGAGGACTGTCTATAGTCCACTGAAATGTATAATCAATATTACAATTCATTTCTCGTGAGCATTGTTATTCAGCCAATATTTCAGGGGTCTAAGATGAATATGTCTTCAGATACAATGCCACTATAAATAAAAATAATCTTATTTACAATGAATTTAAAGCTACATCATAAGAAGGAGATATCCTAGCAGGGAAAATAATAAATTGGTTCAGGGATATTTTTCACTCTTGCTTAATTGATAATTTTGCTGTGGTTATAGAACAACTTTTGAAACCATTTTTAAGACAAACTCACTCTAAATGCTATGCATGTGTACCTACTTTGTGTAAAGAGCTGTGAAATCAGAATGCAACAGTATGAGGTGATGATATGGGATAATGAGAAAGTCTGTGTCTCGATAAAGATTTAGGTTTTACAACATTTGTCAAAACCCTGAGATTATATACTTAAGATTTGTGTATTTTCCATGAAATTTAAATTTTACCTATTGAAAAAAAATAATGAACTCTAGTGTATGATACAGTGGTGTGCAAGCTGAAGTCTTTAGAGAGAAGAGCTCTTATGTCTGCAATTTACATTGAAATGTCAAAAATTAAGAAGGATTGATGAAACAGGGGACAGACAGATATGAGATAAAGCTTAAGAATAGTAAAATATTAATAGGTGGTTGTGATACAGTTGTTTACTATCTTCAATTTGTCTGCATGCTTAAAATTTTTCACAACAAAAAGTAATTTTAAAATATTTCTAAAAATTTACCCAAATCTGCTATGCAACACTGTCCATTCTTCTTCACCAGGATGTTTTTGCTTTTCAAATCTCGATGAGCAATAGCTGGTTTCCCTTGGGTTCCAAATATCTCTATGTGCAAATGTGCAAGACCACTAGCAATGGACAGCACTATTCGCAGGCAGCTAACTGTATCCAGAGTAGTAAGCTGGAGATAGTCATACAATGATCCCATTTCATGGTAATGTGTGATTAACCACAACTGGGTACTGGAGTGTCTTGATGTCATGTCTGAAGCAATGAAACCTAGAGTGAGCAAGAACAAAATTAACAGACATGTGAGAATTCCACATTGTGATTTTTAGTATCCAGAAGTAGTGACCCATATAGTAGACATCATCTATAACAGTGGTTCTCAACTTTCCTAATGCCTCGACCCTTTAATACAGTTCCTCATGTTGTGATAACCTCCAAACATAAAATTATTTTCGTTGCTACTTCATAACTGTAATTTTGCTACTGTTAATGAATCGTAATGTAATGTAAATATCTGTGTTTTCCGATGGTCTTAGGTGACCCCGCTAAATGGTCTTAGGCTCTACAGCAGCAGTTCTCAACTTGTGGGCCACTAGCAGGGTCACCTAAGACCATAGGAAAACACAGATATTTACATTACGGTTCATTAACAGTAGCAAAATTACAGTTATGAAGTAGCAACAAAAATAATTTTATGATTGGGGGTCACCACAACATGAGAAACTGTATTAAAGGGTCACAGCATTAGGAAGTTGAGAACCACTGATCTATAACAAAATATAATTAATCTAACAAACTACCATGAAAGAATATTTACAGAAGCATCAACATTTTATAGTATTTATTCCTTAAAGGGTAGTGTCAATGCACAGAAAAATTTCATATTAATTTCCCTTGTTAAATAACCCTTTAAAAAATATTTTACACTGCATTAACATTTAAGTAGAAATATTTTTTTGCCTACCCATAATGACAGTGCCAAACTCTTTATCACACTGATATTCCAAGCACAGATTATTCATCAACTACCCAAAAAGAACAGGAAACTGGAACCTAGACATCTGTGTTCTAGTCCTGACTCTGCCTGTGATTTGCTGGGTAGTATTGATAACTCATTTAGGCTCTTTGGAGTCTCTCTGCTCAGTTATAAAATAAAGGGATCAGTTTATGTTAAATGATTGATAGATTCATCAAATAAAAAAAGGAGCCAATAAAATATAACAAGCAATTGATGCTGTCAGTCACACAGGAAAACCAAGATGATAATGTTTGTTAGCTAGAAAAGAAGACAGATATGAAAAGGAAAAAAATTACAACATAATGTGAAAAGTATATTATAATATACTAGAGTCCTGGTGCACCAAATGTGTGTATTCGGGTGGGGGCGGTTCTCAGTCTGGCCTAAAGTGTCAGTTGGACATCCTTAGTGCTGCTGCAGAGGAGGGAGAGGCTCCCACCACTGCCACTGAGCTTGCCAGCCATAAGCCCTATGGGAGCGCAATGACCACTAGGGAGCAACTCGTGCATTGAGCATCTGCCCCCTGGTGGTCAGAGTGTGGCATAGTGACCAATCATTCTGCCATTCGGTTAATTTGCACATTAGCCTTTTATTATATAGGGTATCTGCAAAGGGCAGCAGGAGCCCGGAATAGGGAATCGTAATAATTCAGACCAGATGTTCCAACAGGCTTCCATCAAAAGTAACCACTTGTCTTGAAAAGAAGTAAAATACTGACAGATGTAGATAAAGAGGTAGGAAGATGTTTTTCTAGATATTCTGTGGGGACTTTTAGAGCACAATGAAGGAACTATAGAAGTCTGAGGCACTTCCTAACCTATGGGATAAATTGTGATATGTATGCCTGTTATTTTGCTACAGAAGTGCTTTTCTAGCATTACTCTTCTCTCTATATTATATTCATCTATATACATAAAAGATTAAGTGACTGACTGTCCATCTGTCTGACTGACCAACGGGCTAGTACATATGACATGCAAAGACAATTTAAAAATAAATGTTGACTAGTGCATGCGTGATACATATAAAGCTCTCACTGGCACCAATTGTACGCATATGCACAAATCCACACACCAAGCCAACTGTATATATAAAAGGCTGAATGATTGACTGTTCGTCCGTCCAATCAGTATTTATGATGCACAATGGCAATTTAAAAATAAACATTGACTTGCACATGTACGATATTTGTCTCCGTCTGACACTGGCCTCCCATTTAAATTAATTTTAAAACAGTTTCCCGTGATGCCAGCATTTGTGATGACTATTAATAAATCACAAGGATGCCAAAACCGGTATGGCTCAGTGGATAGAGCGTCGGCCTGCGGACTGAAAGGTCCCGGTTCGATTCCCATCAAGGGCATGTACCTTGGTTGCAGGCACATCCCCGGGGGGGTGGGGTGGGGGGGTGTGCAAGAGGCAGCTGGTCGATGATTCTCTCTCATCGATGTTTCTAACTCTCTGTCCCTCTCTCTTACTCTCTGTAAGAAATCAATAAAATATATTTTTTAAAAATAAATAAATAAATAAAAATAAATAAGTCACAAGGACAAACTCTAGACAGTGTAGGAATATTCCTACCTGAACCCGTTTTTGGATATGGTCAGTTATATGTTGCTTTCTCTAGAGTTCAAAGAGCATGTGGCATTAAAGTTAAAGTTGTAAATATTTCATCACAAAGGAAATTAGTCAAGTACTCTGAAAATGTTTTTACTCTTTATGTGGTATACAGGGAGATATTAGAATAAGTTTAATCTATCAGTCATTGTTTTTATCAATGTTGTTTTTATATCATGTTTTTATTGTTTTTATATCATGTTTTTATATCATGTTTTTATATCATGCCTTTGTTGTTATAGTTTATTTATTAATCTATATATTATTTTCATATACTTTTTACTAAGTTTCTTTCATCTCTGAAACTTCTATTATAGAGAAAGGGTGAATAGCAATATTAAAATATTTCTTCTAATTAACTTCCTTTTAATGTGCACAAATTTGTGCACAGAGTCACTAGTATAATAATATTCTTCTACAGAATTCTAGAAAAGCACTTCTGTGTTTTTAATATAATTTATATGTAACATATAATGTACACTATAATATTCAGGGTTGCTTTACAGTTGCTCATGTGGAAAAACTACAATAATTAATAATAAAAATACAAAAATAAATAGTTTATCAAACTCACAACTGTAAGCCTATTTTTACCTTGCCCTCTGCATTATAATATATTTTATAATATATGTTTTTACTAGAATATTAGTGGCCGGATGCATGAATGAAGATTCATGTAAGAATGGGCCTTTGTTTCCCTGGCTACCGGCACCGTCTTCGCTCTGGCCGGAGCAGCCTTTCCACTATGGCCCAGAGCCACCTTTCTATCTTCGCATGCTGCCCAGAGGCCAGGAGCAGCTGGGGTGGTGTGGAATGCCTGCGTCATCGCCATGGTGATGACACAAGCATCCTGCCCTGTCCCCTGCCACTCTGCACCTGCATATGCAAATTAACCCATAATCTTTTATGGGTTAATTTGCATACTCATTCCTGACTGGCTGGTCGGCATTGTGAAGGTACAGTCAATTAGCATGTTACTCTTTTATTAAGTAGATATAATGTTATATATATCATGTATATGAACTTTATGGATAGTAAAGTTTGGGACATATAAATAGAAGATAAAAAATTTTTAAAAGACAGATATGGCTTGAGGAAGAATTAAATATCTTGCGAAAGTATAAAGTAAGAGAAATTGCATAAAATGCCTTACTATCACATAATATAGTGTAAAATTTAATTACTTTCAAATATATTTTTTCATGGGATTTTCCTAAATAGACCAGTAAGATAGATATATATCATTATACTCATTTTAGAAATATAAAGTTCTGTTGGGAAATACCAAGAATCACAAAGCTATTAAATTGCAGCCAACCCCAAATCTGTGCTGATTTTTGGCTGTGCTGATACACCCTCCCTTACATAGGAAGTTCTGGGAACAAAGAAAGGTATTCTATTTGATCAGCAGCATCAACAAAAGAAGCAGCTATTAATTATTGAGTGCTAACAACACACCAAGTACTTGACACGCAGTCCTCCAACAACCACATGAAGTAGGCAGGTTACATCCCTGACATTCGGTGTGCTGCAAAAATTTTTAAAACATTCAGTTCCTGACTATTGAGTCAGAGGCACTGACCTCTTTCTCCTTAAATTGTCACATTAAAAAAAAAAAATCACAACAGCCAAACAGTATGCTGTGAATGCCCTGTCTTGAACCATAAATAAAATATATAGGCCATATAATAGAGTTACATCTTATTGGTCATGTCACATACTAAGGTTGTGTCTGACTGGTTAATCCCTGGTACCAAAAATCCTTATATTATATACAGGTACAGGAACCTGATTTTTTTTTTTTTGATTTTTTTTTTGGCAGCAAAAAGGGTAGGTAATTATTATTATAGTTGTTGTTATTATTTTGTAAATCAATAAAAATCATATATCTATTTTTTTGTCGGACTGTCAAAAAATACATTTTTTGGTAGGCCACAGAATTTTAGTAATTAATTTATGTGTGCCATGAGATGAAAAAGGTTGAAAATCACTGCTCTGGACCTTCAGGAAAAATAACTTTTAAATAAGCAAGATTTTTAAAAACTATATTTCAGGTGTGAATTATATTGTTCTACTTTCTTCAAAAAGCTAGAGCATTTTTGTAAGTTCAAGGCAATCCCAAGGAAGGGCAAAGATTGCAAGTGGCTGCATGTGGGTATATTTGTACAGGATGCTTCAGAGAACCCAAAATAGGGTGTCTGTCATGTCAGGCCCAGAAGTCATGATTGTTGCAAGCAATGTGAGAGTCATCAGACATGTAGAGCAGAAGTATCTCAGCTCCCCAGATTCCTCATTATAGAGAGAAGGTTTGGAAAGGGGACACCAGGAACCACAATATAAAGGAGGGGGATTAGGTGATGACTAGGGCCCCAGGGGAAAGGGAAGGGAAAAATCAACAGCAGAAACAGATCATTCTGAGCTGGAACATACTGTTGAAGCAAAGCTTTGGACAACTGTCAAACCATCATTTGCAGACAACCTGGCTCAGGTTTCATACTAAATTGGCAGTACAGTCGAGCACTGGTTAACAATGGGTGTACATCCTGATAAATGTGTTGTTAGGCAGCTTTGTCACTGTGAGAACATCATGCAGAGTACTTAGACGGTATAGTCTACCACACACCTAGTCTATATAGCCAGCCTCTTGCTCCTAGGCTGTAAATCTTTACAGCATGCTGCGTACTGAATACTGTTGGCAAATGTAACACAATAGTATGTGTGTATCTAAACATAGAACAGGTACAGTAAAAAATGTGTTGTCAAAGATAAAATATGGTCCACCTGTACAGGGTCCTTACCATGAATGTAGTTTACAGGAGAAGAAGCTGCCTTGGGTGAGTCAGTGAGTAAGGAAATGACGAGTGAATGTGAAGGCCTAGTGCATGACTGCACACTACTGTAGACTTTACAAACACCATACACTTAAGCTACACTAAATTTATAAAATGACATTAAATCAAGCACAAGAAAAAAATGATGCAATCAAGAGACATGGTAAACACGGAAACTGTGAGGCTGCTGCTTGCATAACATGGCATAATGTTTTACAGTAAACTTTCTTTTTATAAGCAGAAAGCATATACTCTAAAATAATGACAAAGTATAGCATAGTAAATACATAAACCAGTAATGTAGCCATTCATTATCAAGTATTATGTACTGTGCATTACCGTTTGCGCTATACTTGTATACGACTGGCAGCACAGATTTGATTACACCAGCATCACCACAAAAATGTGAGTAATGTGTTGTGCTACACAACATTTCCATAGCTACAATGTCCTGGGCGACAGGAATTTTCCAGCCATTCTGAGACCACTGTTGTATAGGGTGTCCGTCACTGACTGAAATCTATACTGCGTGTGACTGTACCGGAATAGAAATAAAAGTCTGCCAACAGCTTTGTGTATGCCAAACCTAATCCAATAGTCACAACGTATCCCACACTATCTTCTACAGGTCAAATTCTATAGGAACTTCACACCCACCAATTAAAAAGCACACCAGGCAGCATTCATCACATTTGCAGAAACACATTTGCAGAAACTTTTCAAAAAACATACACGCCAATGGACGCAAGGAATATTCTCACCCTTTGTAATCCCATAACAGTATTTTCAATGAGCTCTCCACATATTTCATAAATGTTTTTAAGTTTTAGTTTCCAAATTAAAATGTATGCTAAATCCCTCTGTAAATCCGGGCTTTAAAAAAAAAACGATGCCTAGTTTGAGGGAATGTGCATTTAATTACGATGTTCCTGGGAGCTGTGAATCTCTAGGAAACCATCCAAAGAGCTTTCTTAGTTTGATTCAAGTAATAAATATTCAGCAAGGGAGTGGGGTAAGCAGAACCACCGAGGAAGCCTTGAAGTGAACAATATGGGGGCATATTTCTGTTGTTTAAATAACAACCTGCAGAATAAGAGGGAACAATAACAATTTCCTTTTCATCACTGAGAGAACCTTCCAATTTCACTTCTCCACAGGTGTAAACAAGAAATTAGTGTTAAAAATATGAAATAGTATATACACTCACAAGATCCCTATATCGCTTTTCAGAAGAGACTGGCAAGTTCACATGTACCCCATCCGAGAGGGCAAAGGCCTGCCAATTATTTCTTTCCAGATAAAGATAGTGAGGGGAATTGCCCTGGTACTTACCTAAAATATTTTCATGCCTCAGCATCACAGTGTTGTATAATTCTGTTTCCCTGAACCACGACTTCTCATCCCGGGAGGAGAAGATCTTCACAGCCACGTTCTCCCCTTGCCAGCTGCCCCTCCACACCTCTCCGTACCTGCCTTTCCCTGCGGGAAGCAGCACAGAGGTGACATTGGGCAGAACAGAAGACATCGCCCATAAAGTTCATACCTGTAACTCTTAACCACACCCACCGTTTACTGGGAAAACTCCATTTAGGAAATACAAAGACCAGGACCTTTTGCCTGTGAAGGTAGAACCTGCCCCTCCCAGCCACTCCACTGTACTAACAGGTTAAACACCCTCAGTATTGGCACGGTACAATTAGCTGCACATGATAAAGTTTCACATTTGAATTCCTCAATTGAAGAGTCTCTGAAACACACATAGTTTTTAAAAGCACATGAAAGTGAGCAAAACTTAGAAAAACAGTACCGGTCATCAGATTTCAGTGTGGTGTGGAAGGGCAAAAACGCGTATATGGCTTTACAAAGACATTTATATGTTTCAAAAAGGAGACTGTTGAGTTTGAGATGTGTTGTTCCGAAGGGTTAAAAAAGGCGATCCACAGACAAGCACACAAAAAGCAACGCTGAGAAGGGGATCGACAAGCAGCAGCCACTGCCATCCCTAAAGGATTTCTTGGCGGAGAATATAGTTCAAAAGAGGATTTGCAAAGTCTTAAACACGTAATCCCAGCACAGTCCTGATTTCTGACATTGGTCATGGGTATTTGCTTGTGAGACAGCCCCTGCAGCGCCACCCTGGGTCGCACGGAAAAGACCAAACGGGGGAGACATTTTGCAGAACGTGGTGACTAGCTGTGATGGTTCTGTTGGGTGCCTGCCCTCTCTGGCAGCGGCAACACAACCATCAGCTTGTCAGCTCCATGCGTCCTCTGCCACCCTTCTCCTTAATTATAGGAAGGGGTAAGCAGGGAGGTTGGGAGGAGGAGGTAATTACCCCAAGACTCTGGGGATCAACACAGGGTATAATCATGGGGTACGTGTGCGGCACCTAGATGATCATGCAGCAGGAGATACAACTCGCAGCGCAGTGGGGCTTTCTACCCCCGCAAGTGCTGCCGGGAATCACGGCTGGTAATAAGCAGCTGTGGCACCACCTGCACAGACAGGAAGACAGCTCTTTGCTGAACAACTAAGCAGCCAAGAACCCAAACAAGGAGAGAGAAAGCATGTCTGTCCGGGTGACTCACCTGAAACATGATCAAAACCACTCAATCTGGATTTCCTTATGACAAACAATGTCCCTACTAACTAGGAGTTTCTAATCCAAAAGGATGTTAAATGTGGTCAGTACGTGGTCGTTGGGAGCCCTTGTCAGGTCACACAAACAGTGTTTAGCACAAGATTAATTTTAATAAATCAGTTAATAAAATCAACTGCCCAGCATTTGTAGCTCAAGCGGAAGGCTGGGGGAAAAATACTACAAAATCCGCTGGTAGGAAATGATAGGCTAATCTTTTCCTGCCCTTGGTTCCCTTCCTTATCGTTAGTTGCCCTTTGTCCTCAGGGTCTCATTAAGGAGGAGAGGAAATTTTCCCAGAGAATTGTGGCTATTACTAAAAAGTTCCCTTAAGGTCCTTTTTTTTTTTTTTAAGAAAACAAAGATGAATGTCAGGATAAGTAGAGAGAATTAAAATAGAAACCTACTTCAATCTACTTCAATGGTTCTCAAACTCTTATGTTGTCAATTGATTTTTACAAATGCTTCCTTATAAATACATCCCTGAAAACAGACGCAAAGTTGCCCAAAGTCCTGTCCTTGGAGCCCCACAAAGAGGATCCGAAAAGGCCTTTGAAATCTAGGGGTTCACTGGTCATCGCTTGGAAAAGAACTGATCTAGTCCAGTTTCTTTGCTTTTGAATCAATAATGATAACATACTATCTAAGCAATTAATCACATACACTTTTATTTAAACTATAGCGCATAAACTCGATAAGCTACTGAAAAGGCATTGCTTTGATTCAAGTCTTTAGCTCTAAACCCACAAAATGCTATATTTGAATTTACATCATTTCAAAAATGACTGAAGAATATCTCTATAACCAGAAACAGTACATATGTTTAAAGGTGCAACATTATTTTGCCCTTTGGACTCTGGGGTCAATCTCTGAGGACTGACCTGGAGACTTGCTGCCTTGTGAATGGTAAGGATGGGATGGGAGGGGGGTGAGTCTCCCTTCACTGCCTTCTCACCACCAGCCAGAATCCCTGGTTCATAATCCAGTAAGATGTTAACTGGTCCAAAAGGGCAATGCTGGTTGGTTGCAATGAGCACATTGGGGACATTTTTATTTTCTCCACTGTGGAGAAGCAGTGTGAAATGGTGTTCAAAAACAGTCAAGTAGTTGGAGATCTAGAGAAAAGGCAACAGGCGCCAGCTGACCGCCTGTGTGCCTGAGTTGGGACTTGCTGCTCTTACTATCCCTGTCCGTCCCCCCCCCCTTCTACTTCTGGGTTTGGGGGTGTTCTGGTTCCCAGAAAAACAGCAAGAAAAGCCAGAGCACAGCAGCCAAGTGGTGGAGGGACGGCTCCCCCCTCCCCCCCTCCTCCCAGCTGCCAAGTCCAGCCCAGAGGAACCAGGAGAATCAGGAGGAGAGGACAGAGACGTTGCCAACCCATTATCACTACTGTGGTCATCTCTGCATGGCGTCTAAAGGAGAAATTAATAAAAACGATCATGTGGCTGGCAAATATCCACCACAACTAATTAAAAATGAGACTTTGAAATAAAAACATTAGGGCCCTGGCCAATGTGGCTCCATTCGTTGGGCATTATGCCATGAAACGAAAGATTGCCAGTTCGATTCCCTGTCAGGCACATGCTCAATCCCCAGTAGGGGGTGTGTGCAAAGGCAGCTGATAGATGTTCTGTTCTCACATTGATGTTTCTCTCTCTCTCTCTCTCTCCCTTCCTCTCTCTCTAAAATTCAACTTAAAATTTTTTTAAAAAAATTATAAAAATAAATAGAAGCATTAGGTACCATGTTTGTAGGGGGCAACCCAGCAATATATAAAACAAGCAATAGAAAAGTCATAAATTTTGGCCCAGAAATCCTAATTCCTAGGAATTTATTCTGAGGACTCAAAAGAATGAAGCAATGTGTGCAAAATATCTCAAGTAGTACTGTTACAGAAAATTGAACTTTCAATAGGTGATTATTACACAGACTTTAAAAATATTTATGATGTGTACAAAAAGGGGAAATGTGTGTGAGCTTAAATTTTTTTTTTTAAAAAGGGACACAAATTGTATTATACACACACTATGATTACATCTATGCGTAAATATGTTTCTATATGGAAAACTGCGAGTGGCCATAGAGAAATACATATATCTTGTTTACACAAATGATTTCCTTATTTTTAAAGGCAGGGAAAGAGTGAGAGGAATTAGAAACTTGCAATAAGCAAGTCCTAAAGCCTACCTCGGATCATTCAATACCTACAATGAGGAGCAGCGCTATTCATTCACGTTTCAAGCATTTCTGACATCCCAAAGGGTGTACTTACAACTGACTAAGCATGGGCTCTACTAACTGGTGACAGACTCCCTTGACAAGGATGTGTGCAAGTTTAGGTGCTCCAACACAAGTCACACAGAGAACAGAGATAAAGCCACACCACAGGGCTCCCCCCCCCCCCCCCAAATCTCGGAATGTTAGCAAACAAGAAACAGATTTTTCAAAGTGCCATCCTACTTCCAGGATCACAACTAACACCGCACATAACCCGCAAAGGAAGAGAAAATGAACTTACCGACACACTCCAACAGTGTGATCTGGCGAGCCACTGTTCTCTGCACCAGAAAAGGAAGACCAGAGCCGCTTCCCGACGTACACGAGTGATCCAGCAAATCCTGCAGTTTGAGACAAGGAGAAAAGACACTGTTGAGAAACAGCCCTCGAATTAGAGCATGAGCATGCATAGTGTTCCAACTCCCAACTGGCCACCATTGGTGTGCGTGAACAGCCGCTATCAGAAGCACTGGTTTTATTACAACAACCAGACGCCTATGCTTTCCCTGATACAGGAAAGGTTTTCCTGAGGTCCTTTCATGCACCCATAGATTTAGAATTATATGTTTATATTTAAACATAACTAGAAGTCAAGTGGACAAAGTCAAAGATGGGAATTAGAAAGTCCAAGCTGAGCACAGGGAGAGTAGCAGAACGAAGACCACGTGGAGCAAAACGAAGAGAAAGAACTTCAAGTCCCAGGCTGGGCATAACTGACCACATTCTATTCTGCTTGTCAGTATCTAGCAGAGGATCCCTTCCAGCTGACATACCAACTAAAGGACTCTCATGAGAAATACACAAATCAGGAATAAGGAACAGATGGCACTCAGGTTGCTTGTAGTAGTAGAAAGATGCCAGTGGCCACATGGGTAATTGAACTGGTGCCCTCCAGCAGAGAGGGGCTACCCAGATGGAGGTGTTACCCTTGTCAGTGAGTGAGGAGCAAAGGGGTCACAAAAATTAACACCTTACATGTCATTTCTTTTTTTCTTTTTCTTTTTTTTAAAATATATTTTATTGATTTTTTTACAGAGAGGAAGAGAGAGAGATAGAGAGGTAGAAACATCAATGAGAGAGACATCAATCAGCTGCTTCTTGCACACCTCCCACTGAGGATACCAAGGTACATGCCCTTGACCGGAATTGAACCCGGGACCTTTCAGTCTGCAGGCTGACACTCTATCCACTGAGCCAAACCGGTTTCGACTTATGTGTCATTTCTTGATGAGAGTTAGCCACGACTCATAGAAAAACTAAAGCTTTCATTGGAAACATAAAACCATGCCCCAAATCTACTTCTAGCAAATAACATATTATCAAAAAGATTCCCCATTAGTTCATTCATAAATTTTTTCCTTCTTAGAAAGCAGCCAAGAAGCAGAGGTCTTTTGTGAAGTACTGTTGATCAGCAAAATTACCAAAAGCTGAATATCCAAAGGAAAGATTTAGGATCCTCAAAACCACAAAATGGATAATCAACAGGAATTGAGTATAGATGAAGGAGACTTCCACATCCCCCTAACCATCTATTTGATGTTCTTTTTTTCTCTTTACTTATCCAATATTTTGGTAGAATAGTCCAGGAAATTAAACTAATATGTTATTTTTGCCATAATATAGAATCCCGGTCCCCAGGATGGGGATGGGGAGGAAATCAACCAAAGATATCCAAACATCTACTTCAATTCTGGGACCCCAAGGCTGCTTTTCAACGCGGGGGAGCTGTTTAGTAAGATGTGCTTTGTAAAGACACTGTTGAGAAAAAGTCTTACTAAACAGCTCCCCAGCGTTGAAAAGCAGCCTTGGGGTCCCAGAATTGAAGTAGATGTTTGGATATCTTTGGTTGATTTCCTCCCCATACATGAGCATATTGCTTCAATGAGCAAGTATGATGACCAATAAGGACAACTTGTTTTACATAGTGTTGTTTACTGTGTTGTTATATCGCACCATACTCTCATCTAACATGGTTGAGTGGAGAAGGCTATTTTAGCATACATTCCCATCCCTCTTTCAAAATTATAAAAACTATTTAAACAATAATTTGCACAAGATATCCCTAATATTTTCCATGGTGATTAGTTATGTTAGCTGTTCTGAGGAATGAAGTTCTGACAAATATATTTTTGAATCTTGCTTTGTTAAATCTTTGTCAGGATTCATCCTTCTATCTTCTTTTTTTAAAGAAAGGTGTTTTATTTGTTTTAAGAGAGAAAAGAAGGGGAGAGAGAGAGAGAGAGAGAGAGAGAGAGAGAGAGAGAGAGAGAAACATCAATGTGAGAACTTGGATCAGCTTCCACATACTCCCTACTAGAGATCAAGCCAATAACCCAAACATGTGCCCCAACTGGAAATCAAACCAGCAACCTTTTGGTACATGGGACAATGCCCAATCAACCAAGCCACACCAGCCCGGGCAGCCTTGTATGTTCTTGCTGCTAATTCAATAAATTTAATTAATTTCCCTCAAAATATGAAATTAACCTCTAAGTACTTTTCTAAAAAAAAAAACAAAAAACAAAAACAAAACTATAATCCTCTACTTTTTTAAATAAAATGCCCTCTCTCCTCTTTTCCCAGTTTTGCTGTGCTACAATTTAAATAGGTAGATGAAAGGAAGCTCAACTTTGAAAGGGTTCTTCCCCCTTTTTCACACCAAAAAGTATATTTGACAGGTGGCCCAGTAATGGGGGGACATTTCCCAGCCTGGATCTGCTATCACTCAATGTTTTAACAGCTCACCAAAAATGGTCCACGTGTAGGAACCAAGCTGCAAAGATTGTCAAGGGCAAGTCTTCTCCAGTAAAAAGGAAGGTGCAGGTCAGGCTGAACTACAGAAATGTCAGACACTTTTAAGCATGTTGTCTAGAACAGTGGTCGGCAAGCAAACTCATTAGTCAACAGAGTCAAATATCAACAGTACAACGATTGAAATTTCTTTTGAGAGCCAAATTTTTTAAGCTTAAACCTCTTCTAATGCCACTTCTTCAAAATAGACTCGCCCAGGCTGTGGTATTTTGTGGAAGAGGGGCCAAAGAGCCGTGGTTTGCAGACCACTGATCTAGAAGATTTAACATAAAATGATCTTAACTGACACATGATCATGGCATTAAATAACATTGACTCCCATTACAAAATGATTACCTTGATTGTCTTTCAATTCATCAGATTACCTTGATTTGGTATGGGTATGTTTTTAACACCTCTCTAACACTCACTAGGCTGATGCCTTTTTCAGAGTAAGCACCAGACACAGCATAGTATCCTTTTAGAACATTAACACTTTTCTCTTTTGCACTTTACGATAACCCATTTACAGCAAGTAATTCCCTTTCCTACTTTTTTAAAGTTTCTTTAGTCCAGCTAGCATGGCTCAGTGGATGAGCGTCGATATATGAACCAGGAGATCATGGTTCAATTCCCCGTCAGAGCACATGCCCAGGTTGTGGGCTCGATCCCCAATGGGAGTTATGGGTCAATAATTCTCTCTCATCATTGATGTTTCCATCTCTCTTACCCTCTCCCTTCCTCTCTGAAATAATAAAAACAATAACCCTTGAAAAACAAATTTAAATTGTAAAAAAAAATAAGATAGTCACTTTTTACTGTGATTTCCTGATTTACTGTGACTTAAAAATATACAAGAGTATATTTTAAAGCATATAAATACAATAGTTTCTAACCCTGTGCTATTCATTAGGGTAGCTGCTAGCCACATGCTGACACTGAGCAAGTGAACTGTGCTAGTCTGAACTAATACAGGCTGTATGTGTAAAATACATACCAGATTTTGAAATCTCAGTTTATTAGTTATTCTTTATCATTATATGTTGTGTGTGTGTGTGTATATATATATATATATATATATATACACGATATATACACACACACACACATACATATTAGGTTAGATATATTGTTGAAATTAATATCATCTAGGGTTTTGTTTTGTTTTTACCTTTTTTAAGGTAGCTACTAGAAATTCAAAATTACATATGTGCTGCACATATTTCTCCTGGACATCTCTGGTTAGCCACATGACTGCACTCCACAAGGGGGCAGCACAGGAGCGTGAAAATTTTAATAGCTTCGTTTTTTTGAATGTCAAATTTTAAAGTCTTAAATTACAGGGTGTTAAAAATAATCTAGAAGGAAAAGTGATTTTTAATACTAAGCAAAAGGTGCTTTTCATAAAAGCACTTTTATTGCTAAAAGAAAAAAGTAACTGAGTACCATAAATTCCAAGATTTCCCCTCTCACCCCCACCGCCAACATGGCCTTTTGCCCTTACTCCCCAAAATCTGTTAAAATGAATCCCATCTCTCATTTAATATAAACACTGTCTAAGTTGAATATCCTCAAACGGGAGACCAGACAGGTGCCAGCGTATGCTTGCTTAGGTAGTGCTTGGCCAGTGTTTTGTCCAGTCACCAGTTACTGGTTAGCTTTCATGCTCAAAATAAGAAGGCATCCTCAGCCATCTTCATTATGGCTGGGATGCTAGGGTCACAACTCACTGCTAAAGTGCTGTCTCCGACATTGGTGGTGATGAGCCCTTCGATGGTGCCGTACTCCACATCTCTGGGATTGAGGCGTTCCTGGTTGCGCCTTTTAAATTTTCGGAGAGCGACTCCCAGTAGGCAAGCTAGAAGGCATACTGCGAACACTACGGACAGAATGATGAGGCCGACCTCCAAGGGAAAGTTCTGTGTTCCAGAAAAGGATTTCTCTGGAAATGGGGGCGAAAACGGTTGTAAGGATCACTGTTTACTTATTTTATTAATATTGATAACCAATACCCTAACAGGTAGCTCCAGATCCTGACCACAAAGTCTCACAAGTCACAAAGCGTTAAAACTAACACACTTCCTAACACATGGCCAATAGCCCAGTAATTTTATCTAGTATTCATTTAGACACGACTGGGAAAATTCCATTGAGAATCAACTGTATTAAAGCATGTATATGAGAGTGCTTTTAAAATACAGAGTACTATACAAATCTCCGGTGCTACTCTTATTAACTTGGATTTGATCTGTACGGATATTTTATCATCAGCCCCTTGCAGACAGACATTATGCTCTACGATCCCTACACAGTGCTGAGCTAAGACCAAACTGCCCATTCTCTCCAACGTATCCTAGATGTTTGTTGCTGAATTCTCAATGACCTTTTTATATCATGATTTTGCCTAGGAACCTAGTCCTTCATCTGTTCTTTTACTCAATGTCTTCAACATTCATTCACTCATCCAAAACAATCATTTACTGACTCTTCGGGCATTCTTTCTTACATTATCCATCCAAATGCTCATGCACTCACTCAACACTCACACACCACTAAAGCAAATATTCGCAAAGACTTTCTACCTGCTCAGTGAGTTCAATCAAATTTTCTTATTTGGATAGTTGAAGGTCCATAATTAAAATATCCCAAAACAATAATTCTCTCTGAATTTCAGATCCCTTCATGACATTGTCACCAAGCCACTTTCTTCCCAACATATGACTTACTATTTTCCATGTTCCTGGCCCCTTCAGCGAACCAATCTCAAGCCTAGTTTCCTTCATACATTTCTTTTAACTTTCCGAATCCAACTAATTTAATCAACCACTTGGCAAAATACCCCATGGCACGTTTCACTTGTGCTATAAAGTGTAAAACTAATTATATACAACATTAAATTATAAATATTACACCTCTCTAATTAAATTAGAAATTCCTTAAGTAAAGAAAATAACTTTTCTATTACAACTCAGAGGCTAGAAACTTTTCAAACTAGAGATATAATTTTTGTGTGAATGCAGACATTTCTTCATGTCTCCCCACTCTATTAATAACAAGTAAACTCACGAAGTTTAAGAGTACAGCTGTATTCCACCATGTAGCCTTCTAGCTGTAACAGTTTAAATACCTAATCCCTCTTTTAAAAACTGTCTGTTATTATTCAAACCTATTTGCTTATCAAAATTTAACCTTTGCTGTATGCCTGAAGGTCATCATAATTTCAACAATTACTGTGATGTGATCGTGCATTAGTCTTTTTCATTTTTCTGTCTTCTCCCTTGCTGGCTGACATTTCCAGCAAATGGATGCTCCCACTAGCTTCTCTTACTCCATTTCTGGGGTTGATTCTTCTTTTTTTATAGCAAAATTAAATAACCATGCCTATTAAAAATGTACGATATTATTAAAAGTAAATTTGTCTTAGAGTGAATCAACAAAGACTAAGACACATTAATACAATATTTGTAGGAACTCTGAGATAGCAATTTCAGGCTCATTTTATGGGGGAAACAAGTTCAGAGGAGAACTGATTTCCACTGGCTATGGAATCCACATTTAACATGACACAGAGAAGATTCCACATCAACTCCCAGGTTCGTGGGGAGTCTCACGCGGCTTCATGTTTCAGTGATGGATCACTGGGAATAGGACGTGAGCGTTGAGTGAGCCTTTCTTTGTCTCCTTCCTTTTACAGAAGAGGTTTTCCACTCAGGCACCTAAGTCTTAGGTTTCATTTTCCTCCCTGCACACTCAACTCTTGACTACGCAGAATGTTTTCAGAAATGTTGAATGGCATCCTGGCTCATGTACTGGAAAGGCATCAGGAACTGCTGTCCACCTGCGTGTGACTGCTGAAAGAGACCTGGCCAGCCAAGATGTCCTTGAGGTGGACATCGCCTTATTGACTTTCCCCAAAAACGTCCATCCTTCTTTTAGATTCTACAGGTGGTGCCTTACTCTTCTTCACCTAGAACCATCTTCCCTGTCACCCACTGCCTCTGGTTCAAAGAGCTGGAGGAAAGCATCGGAACCACTCCCATCTTTAACCCACAGAGAACCAGCACACCACCAACAAAAATCCCTGATCTAGAAACAGACAAGTGCGTGCGAACCTTTCGGGGGCAGCTGGGCCGTGATGTTCCTGTTGCACCAGTCCCCTTGGCAGCACTCCACGGCCTGGCCGGGCGACGGCGGGGTCTTACAGGTCATCTTCCCCTGCTCATACACCTGGAAGCAGCCTTTCTGGTAGACGTGGAAGCCATCGTTGATGCTCAGTGAGGAGAAGCACTGCTGGCCTTCACAGTGGTCCTCATTTCCACAGGAGAGGCCTTCACACACACACATGTACAGTTTGGGGTTCACCTTGGGCTTCTCATCTGCAATAGGATAGAGGGAAAGAGGGGGAGTCACTGAATGGATTATACAGCCGTGGGGTGGCGGGGGGAATAAGACAGTTTCTCCAAGATCATTGTCCTCATTCTGTGGTCTTGTATCTCTCACCTGACCAACTAGTAAATAATAATCACCTCTCAGTGTATAAACTCATTTATGTAACTGTGTACTCTTTTGGATTCTCCTAGGCTATCGTTTGTCCACGGGCTCCAAAAAATGAATTTCTCCCACTGTGGTTTACGCGTGGGAGAAATTCATTTTTCATACACCTGGAAGCAGCCTTTGGGCTCTCATCTCCTAATCCCTGCATCAAAATAAAATGTTTTACCAGAACATAATGCTCAACTCTTATTTTGTGGGGGTAAAAAAGGATGGTTCCTAAATATAGTGTGTCCCCAAAAATGAATACACACTTTGAATAATTATAAAGGCAGTGTTTATTAAAATACATTTCGTTTTGAACCTGGAAAATATTATACTAGGCGAGGTAAGCTGGTTAGAGAAAGACAAGTACCACATGATCTCACTCATATGTGGAATCTAGTGAACAAAACAACCTGATGAACAAAATAGATCCAGAGACATGGAAGCATGGAACAAACTTCTGAACCTCAGAGGAAAGGCAGGGAGGGTGGGTGGGAAGAGAGCAACAAATGAACTTGTATGCATATGCGCATAACCAATGGACACAGAAAATAGAGTAGTGAAGGCCTAGGGTGGGAGGAAAAAGGGAGATATGTAATACTTTCAACAATAAAGCTTTAAAAAAATACAGTGTTTTCAAAACTGAGCTATTAGCTATTAAGTATGTATGTGTTTTTTAGGGACAACCTATATATGGCAGCTTTAATACCCATTCCTGCTAGCTACACACAAATCCTCATAAACCAGTAACACAAGAAACGGTCACGTTCCTGCTGTTACCGGTCTGCTTCAGTAATATACTACAAGGTATATTACAAGTTTACAAGTCCGAAATTACAAACCCTTATTGTCAGTACTTTAAGCTAGATGCCTAGACTAATTTTTTTAACAGTAATAACACTGCAGATTTTACATTAATTAGAATGGAAATTCAGAGCTGCTTACATATTTTCAAGTGGCAGGAAAAAAGTTCGGCACCAGTTACTGAGGATGAGGGCACAAGGAGACAAAGGGAACAGAACAATGTCTGAACAATAAGGTCACAGATGGGATCCGCAGCACAGCCCGCACCTGGTGGGTCTTAGATGCAATGGAAAGAGGCAGAACTGTATCATCAGGGAGGCAAATGCAAGCAGACTCCTGTCTCTTTCTCAAACCCTCGTTTTCAGTTTCATTTTTCATATGTCCTTTCGCCCCCAGGCCCTCTTATTAGAATGATTAGTTCAGACTAGCTGGTCACAACAGTTTCCACTAGTTACTAGCAGGGAAGGAAGGTGAAAATATAAACAGTCATGTCCTAGAAGCCACTGATTAGTTAGCTGTGGCCGCGCTCACCCTGGCACTGTTCATTAAGGACATTCAGCTTCCCGAGCTCCCTGAGATGGTCGAAGGCACAGTCCGCCTTCTCCTCCTGAACCCTCTGCCACAGGTCTGTGAGATAACTGCTTCTTTCTTAAAATAACCAGTCAGGTGGCTGTGTTTTTAAGAGACCTTAAGGTAAGGTCTTTGAAAATGTCAAGTTCATTTACACAGATTTGAGTGGGTGTGCGTAGAGATGTGGGTTATCTCAAAAAGGGGGGGGGGGGGGGAATGGCATTCTTAATCTTTCTTCTTCCCTCTTCAAAGTGAAAATAGTTCACTGCCCACTGAAATGTGGGTGCCTCATCCCACAGAGTAAGTGCATGCAGACACAGACACAAGGCCTTCTATTTATAATTGACTTGCTAGTTCTTTTGAAAACCACAAGGGGCTTATCCAAGAGCAAAGACATGCCTGGAAGCAGAAAATCCAAAATAGCCGCTGACAGTATATGTATGTCACCAACTCACCCCCCGAGACTCAAAAGCCCTCAGACATTTTTAATGAGCAAAAACTTTAATGAGCCAAGAGATGGTCTTTAATTTTCCTGCCTAGAGAAATCCAAGAGAAATTCCAGCACCAATTTATTTCGATGAGGATGAGAAACATATATATCTGTTGACATAATCCAGCAAAAAGTTTACACTTGCCAAAAGCGAGTTGAAAGATAATATTTCTAGGGAGTCTAGACATGCTTGCCACTCTTGAATGGCACAAAGCTGGCTGAGGGCTGCCAACTATGTTGCCCAACAGGTGATGATTCTTTGAAGGGAAACGGACGGCAGAAGGGAGGAGGGTGTTAGTATGTCATATTGATCTGTTTGTAATCTACAGCAGGGGGTTAGAAAGGCTGTATTTAAAAGTGGAGCAATAACGCAATTTCTGTAAATTCAAACATAAGCATCTATTTTAAAACCCTAAATGTTTTTTCAAGACTACATATATCCAAAAATACATACCTAACACATTAAAAAGGTTGTGTCTGTTGACAGTAAGTTGGGGTTGAGGGGTTAGAGTTGGGATAAAGAGGTAAAATAAAATAGGAGATTGGCCGAAACCTGTTTGGCTCAGTGGTAGAGCGTCAGTCTGCGGACTGAAAGGTCCCAGGTTCGATTCCGGTCAAGGGCATGTACATTCATTGCAGGCACATCCCCAGTAGAGGGTGTGCAAGAGGCAGCTGGTCGATGTTTCTCTCTCATCGACGTTTCTAGCTATTTCTCTCCCTTCCTCTCTGTAAAAAAAAAAATCAATAAAATATATATATTTAAAAATAGGAGATTAATTAGCTGTTCACAGACTGATAATGGATTAAAGAATACAAATTACTTTACTTGCTGTACCTATGGTGCACTAGGAATAACTATCAACAAATACCGTTGGTGCATGGTTTCCACATGCACAGATTCAATTAACCTCGGAGAGAACTATTTTGGGGGGAAAAAAGTTATGTTGTTGCTGATGTGTCTATACTATGTAGTTAAGCCTACGTACAGACTTCTTCTCTTTTCATTATTCCCTAAACAATACAACTATTTACATAGCATTTGCAGTGGATTAGGTATTGTAATCAAGAGAAGACTTAAAGTGTATAGAAGGATGCCCAAAGGTTGTATGCAAATACTATGCCATTTTATAAAACAGACTTGGGCAGCCAGACTTGGTGGTGGAGGGGAGGGGTTCTGGAACCAATCTCTAGACAACAGAGGGCTCACTGATTATTGATTCTATGGAAACAGATAGTCCAGAGGACCAAGGTATTAATATTAATGACACTTTGTGGTCCTAGTAAAAACTATCAAAATTTTTTTTAATGTATAATAATACTTTTTCTAATGTTCTTTCAGAGTGAAGTCTACTTGTAAAATTCCAGCCCAAACTGAACTCGGCATCCACAGAAGCAAGACCTTTCCAAGGATGTGGGGACGGTCAGAGGTTTGGACTGTAACCTACAGAATTTTGCCAGAATTGAACAGCCTCAAGCAAATATGGTTTTTAGTGAAATTCAATCCACTGTACTCACTATGGGGTCATAAACTAAGTCAAAAGGGTTCATTCATTTCTCAGTCTCCATGAATCTTTATATTCCTTTGGTGGTTGAGTATAGATGATTAGGTTTAACTACTTCTAGGTTAGTGATTCTTTTCAGTAAGATGTCAAAAAAACCACAGTTTTCATATCCTCCCCTTTACAATCAAGTAAAAAGAGAGGGGAGGAAAAAAAGGAAAGAAAGACAGCTGTTAATGATATGTAATAATTAACTCAAACTCAGATACAGAGGAGCCATGAGCTCAGGTCAGCAGTTAGCTCATGGGGAAATATAAAACTTTCACCAACTTCGTCCTATTTTGTTTCTCATCCACATTTCACCCCCTGAATTTGTACATTCCCACATAACTAATGAGCAGAGCCCTTTATGTATCTATTTTCCATATACAGACAAATATTTAGACCCTAGATTCATTCCTAGGAACAGAAAAATGACTAAATGCATAGCCTGCACACACGCACACAATTTGGTTAAATGCCACTTTGGCAACTTGATCAGGCAAAGTGGAATAGTCAAAGAGATGCCAAAAGGATTTTCCAAGCTAGGATTACTAATTCAACAAAGTTAAAAGCAAGGTAGCAGCATTTTCAGATCTTAATATTCACAATTCTAAGGAACACAGCTGGCCCCAGAAGGCCCATGACTCACTGTTTCATAAAGTCCTGTCAAATGTTGGGAATAACCATAGCATGTGTGGGCCTGTGATATTTTACTTGGGGCAGGATTGTGGTGGCAGGGGAGTAAGGGTACGAGAATTATTGCAAAACCCCTCTAAGGGCCAAAGGTAAGTGTCTGCAGACCTCGCACCTCACAGACTGCAATATGGAGATGGTGCACAGCAAGGATAATCACCTTCCCTTCCCCCCATCCAGACAGGAGGTGCCACATCTGATAGAAAGTGTTTCACACCTGCCTATGCAAATAACCAGGAAGTGTCCTGGCAGAAGGCAAGTCTACTCCACCTGACAATCATTTCAATAATTTAGTCATTTAAAAGTCAAGCCAGAGGTAATTCCCTCTCTGAGGAGCTCGCCCACATTGTCTGTTCTAGAAGGCACCTCCCGGCATTACTCGGTGTTATGGCTGGCACCGCGCACCCTAAGCAAGGCCCAGCGAGCACACTTGCAGCCTGTGTCTGGCTGGGAGCAGCAGAGTTCAAGGCTCCTTGAGAGGATCCATGGCTGGCTCCCCAATCAGAGGCGCAGGCTCGGGATCCAGGGGTTCACCACAGCCAAATCTTTGAAAAGATCTGTTTTGCTCTGAGTAATACCTCGCCATCTGGGCACACCTCGTCTCATGGCCCAATCCTAGGCTGGCAGAAGAAGAGGCAGAGCAAAGAGGGCCATGGACTTTTCAAACTTGTCCACAGTTTGGGATAACCTTGTACCTCATAGCAAACGGCCTTCCCTTGTGCGTTTTAAGTGGGACTTCAGCAATCCAGGCACAACAGGACGAACTTGGACTTCTTCTCCCCAATGTTCGCCCTCCCTCCCTCGCACCTGTCTAGTCATGCTCTCCCTAATGCTTCAAGGCTTTTAAACTGATCATCATTCTAAATGGTGCACAAAACCCCACATTTCCTACTAATGTCTTTGACTGACACAACAAATGAGGAAATGCTACAAGGAAACCAGCCTCTAACTGTGATCCCAGGAACAGCCTGAATTTCTTATGGGCTCACCTCAAAGTAGCACACAAAAAAACCAAAAACACCCCACACACGTGGTCATTAGAAGGTGGTTATAAAAGTCCAACAGCTCAGAACTTTATAGGCTAAAAAAGGAACGCCAAACATCTCTGGACTCCTTCCAACAGTATCAATGATTCATTCATTCGAAATGACGGCTTATATTAGGGCTTATAGATATGGGAATCCTTCCATGGTCTCCTAATCCGAGAGTACAGTTTGGCACCTCTCCAGAATATGAAAGCATTTGAGGTCTCTGGCATTAAACAAAGGCTTAACGAAGGATTTTGCAATGCCAGGTAGCACTGCCAGCAAGCCAGCTCGCACAACAGAAACGGAGGTCCGTCCGGACTGCCTCGTGAAGGGCATCTGACGGTCTGGCAGCAGGCAGGCAGGCGATGTGCTCAGGCTGAAATACACCAAGTGTCCAAATGCTCCGATGATAAAAAACTCACAATAAATCACTCTTTTGGTTTTTTTGTTTGTTTGTTTGTTTGATCAGAGAAATTGATACTTGGTAAAGTTGGAAAGCCAAGGAGAAAATGTGTTCCAGGAGTTAAGAGAGAGAAGAGATCAATTTGAATGAGATCTCATTATATTCAAATAACAACAAAATAATGGTTTTAGGATTTCCAAGGGTTTGAACTCGTGATGCCTCCACTCCAGATGTGTTCTTCCTCAAGGTTCCCTAACTCAGCCAATGCTACCCTTATTCAGGTGTACAAGCCTGATGCTCTCTGGCTTCCACTACTCTCAAAACTGACACAATCCTTCTTCTGGTGGACCCGATCTCTGCCTCTTCAGCCTCCCCCCAGATCTCTTCAGTTCTTAGAAGGCCTCTTCCTGCCTCAGGGTCTCAGGTCCTTTAGGCATGGAATTCCCTCCACATGGAATGCTTAGTTCCCTCCCTGCCACCCCCCCACACCCCCTAGTTAGTTCTCAGGCTCCCCTCAGATCTTCCTTACGTGTCATTTCCTCCAAGAGCCTTTGCTCACACAGCCAAATGTAAAGTAGGAACCACCTGTCCACACTCACAAACATGTGTGTACACCTGTTCAATGTCCAAGACTTGCTTCTAGACCAGAGGTTGGCAAACTCTCAAGCCACACGTGGCTCTTTGGCCCCTTGAGTGTGGCTCTTCCACAAAATACCACGTGCTGGCATGCACATACAGTGCGACTGAAACTTCGTGGCCCATGCACAGAAGTCGGTTTTCGGCTCTCAAAAGAAATGTCAATCGTTGTTCTGTTGATATCTGGCTCTGTTGACTAATGAGTTTGCCGACCACTGCTCTGGCCTGTGAGCACCATGAGGGTAGGAACCGAGCCTTCTGTGCTCACCATTACATACCCCTCAGCCGCCTTAGTACTCGGCAGGAGCACCACCAGCCTGAGGACTGTTTGCTTCAGAATGAAGTTTCTCTTCACAGAAAGGATTCAGAGGTGGGAAGAGACATGATGCTGGTTTTCAGAGCAGACTGAGCCCATAAAGTCTTTAAATGTCAGCAGAGATCTTAAGGCAAGGCTTAGTCACCTAGCCAGCATGTCTGTGCAAACCACTCCCTCCGAGAGCAGCTTGCCGCGGCCTCACATCTGCTCACCTCCCCGTGCTCACAAGTGTGGAAAACCCATCCTTCTTGGGGTGTGCTGGGCTTTTTGTCTGCTTGTTTGTTTGCTAGAGGAAAGAGGTGAAACATAAGAGTTCCTGAAACGGGGAATTAATACATTACAGAGCAGCAGGGCTCTTACAAGTGGTCCTTCCTAGGATGGCTGATTTGAGGACTTTTAGCTTCACCGCTCCAAACACAGTATAAGTGTCTGACTCTAGGTGGCTGAGAGGGGTCATACGGGGCTCGCTGCTCGGCAGTGGAAACCATGCCCCTGGTCTCTGCTGCCGTTTCTCTCCTGTTGGGAAAAGAGCAGAGTGCTCAGCAGGCAGTGGGGAAGAGCAAATGACATCATTTCCCCCCTCTTCCTTTGCTGAAGGTGATAAGGATTCCGAAGTCATACTGCACTTGAACTGCTAGAGCTGAGAGAGGGAAAAAGTGCCATCTGTTTATTTTGTGTCTGGCTGACTCCCTCTCTGTGAAATAATCCCTGTAAATGAAGCCTATTGCAGCGGCCACACCTTCCATTTCAAAGCCAAAAACGCAGCCTGTGTTTAAGTGACTAACATGATGAGGTACTGACCTAAGACAATATCGGTCTGTCTTTTCCGTGTTTTTCATGATCCCCGGAATGGGTCAAAG